AAATAAAAAAGACTCCTTAACGAGTTAAAGATAGGCAAGTGATAACTAGATCGCCTGAGTTTAATAGACAAAACCGAAATCTGTTAAATTACACCTTAGCCAAGCATAACACATTTTCGCTTTCGAAACTTGGTCGGAACAACAAAGGCCTTTTGAACCATGCCCAGTCCTGGGTCCTCTGTCATGGTATTTATGATGATTTTCAATATCGGAACGTTGACTTGGTATGTTCTAATGATCAAGTCAATAGTGTAGGATGCAGAACAAGAAACGTTTCACTTATCATTCTGACCAAGTTACGAAAACGAAGTCAAGCCAACACTATATAGCTAAAGAAGACTGCGAAAAGCAAAAGGCCACCCCATATAGGTCTTCATATCTATGATATAAATATATAAATGTTATATGAGATGCCAAACTGAAGGGACCTCATTCTAAGAGTGGTTAATCTATTTCAATCTAAATAAAAAATTTAGTCACAGCGTTTAACTGTGCAGTATCTTACAAAAATAGTATATCTTTTATGATGGAATCTAATATAGAGCTTCCTGAGGGCTAGTGTCATTAAATTTCAAAATTTTGGCAAAGCAAAAGAAAAAATTTGAGCTTAAAATTGTGCTTTTTCGCCCATTTTAAGCTAGACCATTCTAGTTTGGCACAGCAGACGAGTATATAGGTGTTTGATGTCCACAACATAAATCGGCTATTGCTGCTTACTCTAAAATAAGGATTTTGATCAAATCAGGCTTATCTATTTTCGAGCAAGTATGGCAAAAAATGTCAAGTGATAGAATGGGTTGAACGGAGCGTAAATTGAAATTTATTTTGCAACAAGTGATATTTGTTATAAATAGGAAATATTAAATGGTGAATTAAATTTTTTGCATCTTTGTTGAAGTAAAAATATGACAAAAAAATCGGTCTGTAAAGGTGACAAACTCTGTAACGTACAATGAAATCAAATGAAAAAAGCTATTTTAATTTGTTTACCTACTCATGAAATAATATTCTATTTAATCAGATGATCCAACAATAAGTTACGCATGGATTTTGGTGGGATTGAAATATATCTCACAAAAGCTAATATTATATTTAAGTATAAATGAAAAAATTAGTTAACCATATGGATATGAAAAAGTAAATAAGTAAACGGGATCATCGGGATCCAGAATTACTAATATGTCATGCAGAGATAAAACCGAGTTTGAGCCAACCTTGTGAGGCTAACGGCAAGGCGTCTCTTGAGAATAGCGGCTGAGAGAGACCGTCTTGATGAGAGGCATTTGAAGACGCCAAAGCTAATTCAAGACCCTCTCCCTCGGTAGGACTGTTGGCCGGCGCGACAGATAGGGAATCCATAAGAGGAAGAACTACATCGGCTGGGGTAGATAGTGGAGCAGGCGTAAGAAGAGAATGAGGAATTGATGCTATATCCTGTATTACAAATTCGGTCTCAGCAGGAACTAACACAGCAGTCGCAAGGACCATTGAAGTAGATGAAGTGGTGGTTGCTAATGCAGTTGTCTGGGGTTCATTAGAAACCTGACTTGGTAACGAGCCAGTGCTGGCTAAAATAAAAGGCTGGCTGTTCAAAGGAAGTGAAGAGGCAAAGGCTGAGCTGGTGCTGGTATCAACTTTTCCATCCGTGTTGTAGGAAGCTACAGGTTCGGCTGCACTCGTAAGAAGTTCGATCAGTACATCATCCTGTGGGTGTGAAGAGGAAATGCCAGCTTCAGCTGCTGAGGCCGCGGCAGCTTCAGCCTCCGCCTGTATTCGAGCGGCAGTGCCGGGGCCTCCTTGATCACGAAGGCTCAGTTGGAGTGCCAGATTAAATAACTTAAGGTAAAAGAAGAAAAAAAGTTCTTATAAAAGATTTAAAATAGTGTGAGTAGCCTAAATGCAAATAAAATCATTAAAATAAGAGATAAAAATACTTTTAAAATATCCACCTCTTTGAACAAAGCAAAAATCGGATTCCTCATACAAGCGATTCAATGGTAGAGTAAATCCTTCTTAATTAAAGGATTCGTAATTTGGACTAACAAAATACCGGGAAAGGATTGCATTGGACTTTTGACTATTGGATTATGCAAAAAATCTCATCTTAGTGCTCTCTAGTCTCGTAACGAGCTTAAATCTGGCTTGCCATGATAGGCTTCGTCAAACTATCAGTAATAATCAAGAACCCCTCACAACGAAAAAAAGCAGCGCCATCAGTTGAAATGACAAATATAGATGCGCATTATCGTTAATCCCACTGTAAAAATGATTTAGGAAAGGACTACATTCTTCGAAATTTCTGTGACCGATTGCACTTATGTATGCGTAGTGGAGTGATAACGACGCCACAATACAAACGATTGGCATATAATTTTCTTGGGGCAGCTGACGAAGCCTTCTACAAATATCATTATTGGAAAACTCAACTCTCAGTTAATAAATCACCGTATTTGATAAATGGAAACAAATTTTTCCATTTAAATTATCTCAGTCTAATATTCCTACAGTGTCAATGGTATCTTTTTAATATATAATATCTACGCAATACGATGAAATGATTCGAAAAATATGCTAAAGGCTAAAATTAAAAGTAGTAATAATCTTGTATCTTCAATCCTGTTTGAAATATATCGCTATTCCCAAGTAGCGATAAAATGAAGCTTTTACTTGAATATTACCGCAATAATCTGACAGCCTCATAGACACTTAAGATTGTATTATTTAGTCAATCGTATTCGGTCAAATGAATGGGGTCAAAATATTTTACACAAAATTAGTTTAGAACTCACAGCCTCATCGTCAACCTGATCGAGCAAAGCTTGAACTGGGATCTGTCTGGAGATTCTTCGTCCACCACTGGATCTGGAGCCGCGTTGCCAACTGTTAACTTGGCTTTCTGTGCCAGTAGCTCCCAAAGCACTACCTGAGGAAAATGTCACCAGAGCTGGAGATGATAAGGCTTCCATGGAGACCAATTCTTCCTCATCATTCTCTTCGTCCTCATCGCCATCCCCGTTGCCATCATCATCATCATCGTCGTCGTCATCATCATCGTCATCATCATCTCTTTCCTCATGGCCTCCTATAAGGGCGGCCTCACCATCCTGATTGGCTTCACTATGCAGTCCAGCTGCTTCCTTGTCATCATCGGCGTCATCTTCAGGCAAGCAGTCGAAAGCCTGTGCAACAAGTGAGTGAAGCAGATCGACCTCTTCGCTCTCATAGCCATTCCAAGCAGAAGAAGTGCCTCCAAGCATAGTAGAACTGGCCCCAGCGCCCACGGGAACAGAATCAATTGATCGACCCCCAGTAAAAGCTAAATAAGCAAAGGGTGTCAAAAATAAAATGTAAAAAGCAAGAAGCGTCGCTTTCAGTAGACTGATCAAGAAAGATTTTTCTAAATGAACACACAAAGGAGCAAATTTCACTAATTTTACATAGAATCAACTTTTTCAATATAGAAAAAGTGAGGGCTTATTGATGAATAAAAATTTTTTTGAAGTAGACGAAATTAAATAATTACAACTAGTCTTTAATAATTACTTATATAGTTATCATGCTAAGATCCTATCATTCAACTCAGAAAATTCATAACTTAATTCAGATCCAGTAGATATAATATTCTTATAAGCTTGTATGTTTATAGTGGTGGTTATGTATTAAGTTTATAGACAGAATTACCTAAGTTCTAGCTAGGCTAGGTTTAAAATGCAGTCAAGTTCAAGAAGCATGAATAAGTAAAATTCGCATGAAAATTAAGACCTATTTATACAGTAGTGGGAAAAATTAATCTATCATTCCTGTGTAAATTTATGCGACCTAAAGTCTGCATATAGTCCAGCCTATGGCCCAGAAGCAGTCTTGGAAACGAAACGTGGTGTTTACGTATTGAGACCAGATTCTGCACTACCAGGATATTAGTCACACTGGGCTCTGGTGGAAAATGTTGTCCACTCTGGATGAAAATACGTTATGTGAAACAAGTCTAAGTGGAACATACCTAGTCCTGTATCCTCTGTCAGTATTCATGATTTCCAGCATCGAACCATCGACCTAATACATTCTCAAACATTTCGCCCGCACCGTATTTAGCACCATCAGTGAGAGATGCAATCATTAACTTAGTGTTAGAACTTATAAAAGTGACAAGTGCAAGCAATCCTCTTGACCAATTTTTGTTCAACCGTTATGGCATCACTACTCGCCCCTATTTTTTATTCTACTTTATAGAGCTGCATCTCTTTCTTTCAACTCCACTTTATATGGAGAGGCGCAGCACTAGAAAGTAGAACAAAAAATGGGAGCGAGGAGTGATTCCACAACGATTGAAGAGAAAATTCGTCAAGGGGATTGATTTCATTTGTAACTTCGATAAGTTTTAACTGTATTGCTGATGGCATCTCTCAATGACGATGCCGACTACGGTGGCGTCCAAATGTTTGAGAATGCACCTAGTTAATAAACTTATGCTGGAAACCACGAATGCTATGGCGGAGGTCACAGGACTAGGTACATTCCACAAGGTCTCCCTGACGCTCTAACCAATTTGCAAAAATGAAGTCGAATTAGCACTACTATATTTAGGATGACTCAATAAGTAATTATTGACTAACTATAATGTGCTTCACAACATTCCAAGCTGATAAGTTCAAATACTAAACGAAAGAAAATACTGAAGTCTTAGTTTAGTTTAATCGGAGATAAGAGGACCAAGAAGTTGTGGCTTCTAGTATGGTCACAGTCTCCTTTCGATTTATAGAAGTGGGTTTACTTTTTATTCGCAACTTGATCTTGTTGTTAGGGTTACTTAGTAGAACGCACCTAGTTCGAAGTGG